TGTCAGCACAGAGCCCAAGGCGGGGCTCAAACTCACAAACTGAACCAGGAGACCATGACCTGAGCTGAAGCTTAACCTACTGAGCCACCCAGGCACCTCGATTCATGACTTCTTTTACTCTATTTGGCGTGGTAGCTGTAACAGAGACTATACAGCCTTAAAAATCTGGGCTTTTAATTTAGTTTTTAAATGTTTATTTACTTTTATTTTTAAATTTTTTAAATTTTTTATTGTAGAGAGAGAGAAGCAGTGGGAAGAACAGAGAGGTATGGAGAGAAAGAATCTTAAGCAGGCAGAATCAGTGCCAGGCTTGATCTCATGACTTGAGACTGCCAAAATCAAGAGCTGTATACTTAACTGACTGAGTCACCCAAGAGCCCCAAAATATTTGTTTTTGAGAGAGAGAGAGAGAGAGAGAGAGAGAGAGAGAGAGAGAGAGAGAATGAGCATGGGAGGGGCAGATGGAGAGGGAAAGAGATAATCCCAAGCAGCTCCATGCCCAACCTGGGGCCTAAGGAAGGGCTCAATCACGTGAACTGTGAGATCACGACCTGAGCCAAAATCAAGAGTTAGATGCTCAACCAACTGAGCCACTCAGGTACCCCCAAAATCTGAACTTTTTGAAGAAAATTTCTGCTGTTGCAATTGTAGTATTTAAATATGCATTGTTCTATGCATAGAACACACATCAACACACAGTCAACCTTCAAATAATATTATTCTACTTCACATATAAAATACGAATTCATAGAAGTTTACTTCCATTTCACCCCTTGTTATCCTTCTTCTATTTTTATTACATGTTTTATTTCTACTGATTTTATAAACTCGACTATATTGTCACCATGTTTTTCTCCCCTAATTCCTCTCTGTTTATACCTTCAATTACCAAGTTCATCAGTACTTGATTGGTTAATATTATCTCATCTATTATCAGGTCACTTTATATTTTTTTCAGCATTATTTTTTTCTCTGTTTTAATTTAAGTAGCCTAAATTTCTATACCTGTATTTGTATTTTTTTTCCTGCAGTGTCAAATCTGCTATCAAATCCCCTCTTATAGACAGTACCAGATTTATAAGAATTGAAACACTCACTAAAATCATACAGTATCACAAGTAACCTCATCTTCATATATACAAAATAGACCTCACAACATTCAAGCAAGATTTAAATTATACAAAAAGAAAATATAAACAAGTGTTTGTTAATTACAAGAAATTTGAAAACTCTCACTGACAAAGGACAATGTGTCCTGCATCCTGGAATTAGATCACTATTCTTTTCTTAGGTTATAGTGTATATAGTCAGGTCTGATTTTGTACGAATTGTCTCAATTTTTACCCATGTGGCACCTAATCTAGGAATGCTGGAGTTATAATGTAATTATTTGAATAATATTTTGGAAGGGAGAGGTCTTTGTATTGAGTTATTTCTATTAGACTACACAGTGGTACATTTTCTCTGGATTGTGTTTGGTTCTGATGAAGGGCATCCTGTTTTTCAGCTCCAATTTCCTCTACATATCTTCAGTTTATAAGATTGTGTTACTTACTTGGCTCAAACTCAAGTTCCTAAAGCAATATTCTACCTAGTCCTTCAAATCCTATTCTAGATTAGGGTTCTGACTTTCTGCTAAGTGGCCACTGCTTTAGACCTCTACCTTAGCCTTTCTTTGGCTGTGTCCTTCCTATATATTGACATTTGCCCCTTGCTCCTTGGACTTCTTCCTCCAGGCACAGGCCCTTTGCACTTATAAACATGGACCTTGCCTGCAACCCCAGCCCTGCAACAAGGGTTTGTCTATAATAGGTGTCAACGCATATTTTGCAGATAAAATGATGTTAACTGTGGGCCTGAAGGGCCATTACCTTTCTCTGTTGTGCTCTGCATTGTTCTCCTGGCCCAATATCCAGTGTCAGCTGGATCTGCCCCCAAATATCTGTCTCACTTTTTCTAGCCATTGAAAGAAGGGTCTAATTATGGTGATGTGTGAGAAAAGTGAAAAGTCTCACCAACAAAATCTGAACTTTAACATTTATGGATTGGGGTATTAAGTCTGGTTTCCTACTCATATGTTTTATTGAATAATTATGACACTTTTCACTATTAAAAATTTTATTTTAAATATATTTTATTAAAATAATAGGGCACGAAATAACGAATTAAAATACTAATATGGGGGCACCTGGGTGGCTTAGCCAGTTAAGCATCCGACTCTTGATCTCAGCTCAGGTCATGATCTCTCCGTTCATGATTTGGAGCCATGTGTTGGACTCTGCCCTGATGGCGTGGAGCCTGCTTGGGTTTCTCTCTCTCCTTTTCTCTCTGCTCCTACCCCACTTTCTCTCTCTCTCTCAGATAAATAAACTTAAAAAAATGTTCCTACATAAGTACATGTAAATACTGGTAATAAAAGTTTAAAGTCTTACAAAGTGTGATTATTATCATCTATCTTTTTATAAACCTTTGACACTAACATCTATTGCTTCCCCTAGCACTTAGATTCTTGCCTTATCATGAGTAAAGTCTTTATTTACATTTTTTCTTAGGTTCTGTTACTTCCAAGGCAAGCATAGCTCTATTTCAAATCTGTTGCTGCAGGATTCGAGGACTATGTGTTGTATAAAGCCAGTAGATTAGCCTTCTCTTATTTTACCCTCTCACACTGGTTTAGAAATGGTTTCTAAGCCATAAGCACTCATATAACGCAGCATCTTAGGACAAAGAAGTCATTATTCATCTTCTAAAACACTGGCTTCCTTTCCTCCGTGTGGAAAAACATAAAAAAGAGAAAAACACAGCCAAGAAGAAAGAATTTTGCTTAGCTCTTTCCCAAGAAGGATATGTTTTTCCTCAATTCATTTCTCTCATAGCCATTTTTCATTTGCTGTTTAAATCCATGTCTTGTGCTACACTGATCCATATGGTATCTATTGGCACATGTAATGTGATAGTCCTGATTATCTACTAGCACCTGAAATGTGATAGTCCTGACTGAAATATGCTATAAATGTAAAGTACACACTCGATTTAGAAGATCTAGTGTACGAAAAAAAGAATGAGATATATTTATTAAATTCTCATATTTATTAAGTTTTGAAATGATAGTATTTTAGACATATTGGATTCAACAAATAATTATTAAAATCCATTTAGCTTTTCTTTTTATATCTTAATGTGGCTTCTAAGATGTTTAAAATTAAGTATGTGTGTGTGGCTCACATTGGACAACATTGTTCTAGAAGAGATACTTATTAGTATCAATTATTTTAATGGGATAAAGCCATCGTTAATCTGTTCCCCTTGTTTATCAAATGGATCTGTCAATACTGCTTTGATGTGAGCCATAAACCTGTAAAAGCTGTGTATAAACACAATAAATCAAAGCTTTCAAAACATTTTTTTCTCAAGTTTTTATTTAAATTCCAGTTAGTTAACACACAGTGTGATATTAGTTTCAGATGTAGAATTTAGAGATTCATTACTTACATACAACACCCAGTACTTAACAAAAATATATGTTTTAAATACAAAGATTTTATCAGTCTAATTTGGACATTGATGTAGCCCTTTTTATACATACAGTGCTCAAATTTTTTGAAAGCTGATAGGAGAGATCTGGTTTTGTTATGCAATGTGATTCTGGTAGAGATTAGTCCTGAAGGTTTTTGGTCCCTTAATGAGCAGATGTTAATATATGATAGTGTTTAAACTAGTAGACTTGTAATATTTCCTAAGAGATAGTAGCTTCAATTTACCTTAATGTATTATTTCTTCATATTTGTAAGACCTTTCTGTTGGTTATGCACACTTTGAACAAAGTCATTTTTCTTATGTTGAAATGGGTGAGAGAATGAGATATTGGGGAATTCTTTTTCAAGTAAGAAAGAAAAAAGTTATCTATGGTATGAACCTAATTAGATCTTGACATTCTTTTTTTACCTTTGATAAATATATTATTCCCAGTTAAAATGTTGATTGTATGCTTTTAACCATTGCTTCTCAATTATGTGAGTACATGTTTACTTTCCAAATAGTAGTTCATAGTGATAACCAGAAGCAGAGGAATGAAATACCAACTTGTTATTCATCACTGTGAGGCAGAGAACTAAAATAAATGAACAGACTTGTGCTGAATGAAAGCTTAAGTGGTCAAGGATGAATCCAGGTGCTTTCTGTGAAGGCTGAAAGACCTAGATTTGGGGGACAATTTTGGCATTAGATGGTTTAGAGATTTTCCTTTCATGGTATAAACAAGGACACTTACTTATAGGTTGCTACTGAGGCACAAAAGCTTATATTTAGAAAGGGTTTTCTAAAACAATTGTTCACTATTCTCAGGAGTAACTGATGAGTAACATGAAACACAATGAGACCACCTCATTTGTTTCCAAGAACCCATCCTTTTTTGGTAGCTGTTCAAGGCTTGTAATTCAGACTTTTAACTCTCTATCCAGTGCTTTCTTAAGTTTCCAGGTACCCTACTACCAGTAGGTACATTACCCCATTCCGCATTCTTTCCCATTGAGAATATATTCCTGGAACTCATATTTTATTCCTCCTAAGAAAACTTTGAGCTCCCAAAAGCCACATTTTTCTATATATTTTTGAGTCTTAATAGCTAACAGAATTCCCAGGACACAAAGTGTTCTTAGAAATTGTTCAGTTAATATGAAAAAAATGTTCAGATATTATATTTTTTATATTTAAATTATTATTACTGGATCATATACACAATCTTTGAAACCTTTAACTCATTAGTTAAACTATTTTTGCACACCCTAGATTGAACTAAACTGTGACACTCTGGATTGAAAAGATAAATGTGCAAAGCACAAATCCATTGCGGAGGAGAATTTAAGAGTCTCTTACTCTTAACTATAATCGACCTCATTGATAATTGTTGCACAAATGAGAAATCCAGGACAAAAAAACCCTGTCCTCTTGCAATGCTCATTTAGAATGATCACCCAGTTGCAGACCCAGTTAGAGAGAAGTAGCAACCTTCCATATTCAGGAGTGAAATTTCACTGCTATATCTTTTTCTCCCATAAGATCCCTTCTGTAGAAATAAAAGTAAGAATCCATTACATGTTACACAACTCTACCCCCAAATAGCCACAGTTGTGTATTTAAGAATGTAAAGGCATGACATAATAACAGCTGTATATTCAGGAACATAAATTTCTCATTTTGGAACCTCCCCCAAGGAATCTCAGTATTTTGTCAATATAGGATAATATGTATGGGAAAAGGCAAAAGGGGCAAAAGATATTCCTAAAGGAGAAGTGAGAAAAGGGAAACTTAACAGTGAAGCTTAAGTTTTTAAAGAAGACACAATATTCAAGTTACCCATTTTGAGATTGCAATTCATAGATATGATTAAGCCCACTCACCCATTATTGATCCAAAACTCATTTTATGTGAGGAATGCAGAGATCCAATTGTCCTTATTACCACACTTTCTTCAGTAATCTCTGGATTCCTTGCTTGATCTCCTGGGTTCGCACCCCATACACAATGGGGTTGAGGGCTGAGAAAATGACATGGTGGAGGATGTTGAGCAAGACTGGCACATCAGGGGAGACTTTCTTCTTCACCACAAGAGTGAGCACGAAGACCAGAAGGATGGTGCTGAAGAAGAGGATAAGGATGAAGTGGGAACCACATGTGCTCAGGGCCTTGGTCACAGCACCCTCTGCCTTGAGTCTCAGCACAGCTCGCAGTATGAAGGTATAGGAGACAAAGATGAGGATGAGGTCAGATCCTAGCAGGGTCCATCCTACGACAAACTGGTAGAGGCGATTGATGGTGACATCATCACAGGAGAGCCTGGAGACAGACATATTGGCGCAGAGGCAGTTCTCAATGACATTTGTCCTACAATAATGGAGTCCGGATGATAGAATAGGGATAGGTACTGTTAAAATGCCATTCCTGGCCAAAATAAAGACAGCAGCCTTGACTACAAATTGGTCAGTGATGATGGATGGGTACCTCAGTGGGTGGCAGATGGCTACATAGCGGTCATAGGCCATGACCATGAATGTGCAGGACTCCATGGAAAGGAAGCAGTTCATGATGTACATCTGGAGGAAGCAGGCATAGAAGCTGATGGACTTGAGGTCAAACCAAAAGACCGCCAGCACCTTGGGGATGACGGTGAGGCAGACAATGATGTCCAACAGGGAGAGGAGGCTGAGCAGGTAGTACAATGGCTCATGCAGAGATGCCTCCAGCCGGATGGTGATCAGGAGAACACTATTGGCCCCCATGGCTAAAAGAAAGAGGAGGCTGAGGGGCAGGGACAACCAGAATTTCCAGCTAGGGGACCTGGCAAAACAATTCAGGAGGAAGTCTGAAATCTCAGAGGAGATGGTGCCATTTTGGTGCGCTGTCATATTTTGTCATGTATTTCTATAGATTTCTTTTAGTGTTCTGTAAAATTAAGATAAAAATTGGATACTGACTCAAGACACCTGGATTTAGAAAAATTTGCTTCACCTAGGTGAAATGCACAAGCCTCGGGTTATCCAGAGCCATGTGAATTCATCTGTTTATCTTTTGTGCCTTGCTACTTGGATGATTTTACCAGTGAACAGTATAGAGAACTGAGGTAATATGGTTTACTTATACATGCTTGATTCTTTCAAGGATGATTATTAATAGAATTGTTGTATCTTTGCCAAAAGTAAAGAGAGGGACAAAATTGCTTTAGAACCACTTTGTGACCAGTGAGTTGCTAAATTTGTTCTTACAAGTTTCTTCCTTTGGGTTTTGATTTTCTTTAATGGCCACATAGACTACTATATGATAATTTAACCATAACAATGTGTGCAGGTGAGTAGTTGAAACTGGCACAAATAGGGACTCAGGTGAATGTCCCTAGTTGTTCATGGCACCCCCATTCTGAGTTTTCAAATGGAGTTTAATTATATTTTAAAATGGTACCCTGAAAGTAACGTAGGATAATTTTCATTTTGTCTAAAAAATGATTGTAATTAGGCTGGTATGGTCCTGCCAAATAACTGTCCCTCCCCTATACATGTTTATATTTGTAGGATTCTTAACTTTTGGAAGAAAGAGTCTTAAAAGGAGCCTAGGCAATAACACATAGGTATGAGAGAGTGATACCAGTCATGGAACAAGATGAAATTTGATTATTCTGATTGCAATAGTGTGAAGGTGATAAAATCTACCTTTAAAGTTCTTTTATCCCCTTTCTGTTTCTCTTTATATCTTCAATATAATAATCCATTTTTTCTTGTCTAATAGTTCTATGCTTTGCCATGGTGGAGTGGCCACAAAGGCTGGGAGATACTGGAAGTGCAGGAGATTTCTGAAGATAAAAACCCATAGGAAAAAACATTGAGCCTTGAGTTTTGACCTAAGGTCCTTCTCCTATCTTGAACGCTATGTTCATTGAACTCTGTCTTTCTATCAAACTTCTCATAGGATTCATTCACATATAGGTTTGAGGCATAACTAATAGCACTAGCTCAGACCAGTCTTTGCCACAGTGACCCACAGCATGTACAATATCAGGCTGCTGAATTTAAAATATTACCCTAAACACCATTTTCATCATTTAGGTTTAGTCATTTGATCTTTGCTTACTATATTCTCTGATTCTACTCTCTACAGAATTGTTTCAACTAACCCTTGCAAGAGAGACACAAATCTTACCATCTCCAAGAAGTTTTCCTTCTTCAAGGGTGTCAGAGTATTCTTGGAACGAATTAGGGTTTCTTTGAATGCACAGAGGTAAAAGTCTTGAAATGGGCTTTGGAGAGTACAGCCACATGGAAGAAATGGCAATTCAGACATGAGTATCCATGGAGAAGTAAAGAGGAAGAAGTATGTTCTCTTTTTCTCCTGAAGTACTTTGGGATAATTGTGTCTAGCACCAGGATAGAATTTCTGAGGACAGCCTAGGAGGACTTTTTTTATCTGTTCTTTCTACTTACTGACTCTTTCTCCTCTTTTCTCTGGAATATTCCTACATATTCTTCATTCTACAATTGATTCAACAAGCATTGACCTACCCTAGAAGTAAAGCATCTGAGACCATGTATGTTTTTCTTCTCCTCTCTTTCAATCTTGGATTGCAATCAGAGCTAGCCAATGAAGCATGAGGGCTGAGGACCTACAGCTAATAACTACTGGTTCCAGGTAGAGACAGAATGAAGAAGCCAAGTGAGGTTGAAGGGCAATGACAAAAGCAGAGACCCTGCAGGGCAAACTTTTTCCCAGGCTGCTGGACAGGCCCCAGCATAGCACTATGGAAGCCCTGTTTGAAGAAAGGAAGGGTTTTTAGGGACCACCTAACTCCATAAACTCAGACAGAATTGTGAGACATCTCTCCCAAGTACTTTTTCAGACATCATTGATCTGAACAGTGACAGATACCTCTATGATCTGTGCATAATTTTCTGTTTGTGGCAGCAGTAGATTTTAGAAACTCTTTAGATTGAGCTGAAATCTGAGGAACTATCTTCTGACTCTCACTAACTCTCCAACTATGTCTGTGTCCTCAGTCCTGTAGTTGTACAGATTAAATTTAGTTCCTATGTCATGATTCAAGCATTTATGGACAGATTCTTTGCCCATAACTCCTAAATTTTCATATTCACAGATGAAAACCCAAAAATTTCTAATCTGAGCTCCAAATGATATGCTTTCCTGACCCCTTCCACTCATTAATCTCCTATGAAGAAATTCCTACTCTCTGCATATCTGGCATCACCCAGGAAAAGATCCAAAGAAGCAAGAGGAGGGTAAAAGGAAAGGTCTCAGAGCACAGGTTATCACATGTACCTCCTGACCCAAGACTGGATGCAGTGTTTACTGCCCTATTTTCAGACTACTTCATCAATACTGACTCAGGAATGGAATGGAGCACAGATCTGGACTAAAGAGAAAGATCTCCTCTATGCTCTGGCTAATTTTGGTATAGCTGCGTCTCAGACACCCTCTACTCAGACTCACTTACAGAGCATGGAGCAGGGGTCTGGCTCCACTGATATTGGAGTTTCAGTTAGTTCCTGAAGTATCTGTGGATAGTTATAACTCCAGAGCCTTAGGGACTTTGCCCTCTTGGAACTTTCCATCCCTAATTCCTTGTGCATAGAATGTCCTCCTGGGACAGACAGGCAGGCAGGTAGAAGAAGCAAATGATTTTATTTCTCTCTAAAAGGAAGGAGCTCTGGTAATCCAGCCCAACATGGACTGTGTTCTGTACGCAGTTAGTCTCCTGGGGGTAGAGGTCTTACATCAATCCATCCATGTTCACAGTATTTGCATGTGCACACTCGGTGCCCTCCATGGGTCCAATAAGCTCGCTCAGAAGTTCTCATGGGCTTCCAGAACACAATTTTTAGATAGGTACCCTCCAAACCATGCTAATGAATGTATTCATACTAACTTATCGTGACTTTTCTCATTGCATTATAATGATGAAAATGCAAGAGAAACCTGAAAACCATATTCCTGAGAAAATGCAGTATGTTTTTCAGAGAGAAAAGTCAATAGAAATGTTCCCTTTAGTGAGAAAAATTTAAGTAGGATGTATGTATAACTGTGTATTAGGAACCATGATTGTCCTTTTTTTTTAACTTTCATTTTGAACTTCATGTGAATTTTTCATACTCTTCCATAATTGGAGCAAACATGATTGGTTTCTTTATTATGTATTTATTTTCATTAGTTGTTTTTATTTGAGTGTAGTTGACAGATACATTTCCACTAGTGTCGGATGTGTAACAATGTGTTTCGACAAGCCTATCCATTATGCTATGGTCACCACAAGTGTAGCTACAATCTGTCACCATACAGAGCTTTTACAGTACCATTGACTATATTCCCTATGATGTGCCATTGTCATCTGTCTCTTGAAAGCCCTTCTTTTGATTTATTTTTATTCTTTCTTCTGTGTATCTCAATATCGCTCTTATTTCTCTTTTCCCTCAGAAAGTAAAAACTCCGGGATTCTTAAAATACACCTAATTAATATTAAGTATGCTTATTTAGCTACTTGTATGCTTAGGGGAGAAAAGGTTGGATGTTGAATTTATATAAATGTCATTGGGTTATAGATCGGATGTAAACACTGAATCTTAAACATCTGTCCATGCTTTTCTGTGTACACCCACTTCATTCTTTCTGACTGCTGTTCTATTTCCAATATGTGCATTTTTCCTTTTTATGGAAGTAGTCAACACCCAAGTGAACTATAATTGTACTAAAAATAATGTTGTTGTCAATTTCCTTGTACACCTTTTCTTATAGACCTAAAGTAGACAGATGTGGAGGATTTTTTCAGTTATAACATAAAAATATTTAACTAGGAATTACCAAATTTCTCTCCAAAGTATTTAAATATCTCAATAGAAATCCTAAATTTTCTTTATTTTACACATTCCTTACACCATTTGATGCTATTATCTTTTCTTTAAAAAAACTAGATGGATGTAATTCATATCTTATTATATTTAATTTATTTTTCATCTGATAAGTGAGCATTGTTCATATACTGTTCAGCCATTAGTGGCAGTGACTTATGTGTCCACATCCTTTACCTGATTTTTCTATTAATTTTTTTTTGCTTACATACCTATAAAACTCTGTGCGTATTTTATTTATTATTTTTATTCTTATTTATTTATTTTTATTTAAGTAATCTCTCTACCCAATGTGGGCTCAAACACATGACCCCAACATCAAGAGTCCCACAGACCGAGCCAGCTTGGTTCCCCTCTGCATATTTTAAATACTAGAGCCTCTTGATGGATAGATATTGCTAGTACCTTCTCTAGTCTGTTATAAAGCTTTCAATTTTAGCGTCTGCAGTCCATTACTCAATGGACATCTCTCAATTTGACCAAGGCAAAATCTCTATGTTTCTAGAAATAGAGTTTCTCCATGGATCTGATTTAGGGAACATTCTACAAGATCACAAAGATGCTTCTTTTATTTGGTTTTATTTATTTATTTTTTTAAAACTCAGTGCATTAGGTTTCATATTGATGTATTTAAGTCTGTGGTTTACATTGTGAAGAGTAAGAGTGGTATTAGGTTATTACAAACTGATACATTCACAACAACTGTGAAAATATGAAATACTGTGTTGCCTGTTTTATAAATATTGTCTGCCTTGAGTCCGCTAGTACCTCAGCACTACCCTGGCCACTCTTCTGGTGGCTCCTAGACTTCTCATGATCCCTGAAGTGTGGGTTACTGCCAACAGGGTGGGGTCCATCAATGGCAGTTACAGTACATGGTCTGAACACCCTCTGTTTTGTTGAGGGAGGTGCTGTACCAGTTCTGCTTATAGTGTTAACTAATAACTTAATTTTTATCTTTCTTATCTTTATCTCTTTATCTTGTGTATATTTTTAACTTT